TAATTGTCTCAAAAAATGGAAGCCCTCATTATCTCTACAACCCTTTCCAATTATGATTTCTAATACCTCTTTCTTTCATTACTTCCATTTTTCTAATCTAGACCCATACTAATGGTTCTCCATTTAAATTAATAATATAATATTATAGACCCGTAGACATGGATTCTGAATTGGTCAGTTCTTAGCTGTATAACTTTAATTACTTGAGTTCTCGGTGTGCTTTGTATTTCTTTGAAATGTCCACAATATTACACATTTTAGAGGGCTAAATGTTAATATTAGTACATAAAGAACATGGAAATTGAATATCATGAATGAAATACAGATAAAATAGGAATGGAAGGAGAAAATATTCCTAGCAGAGTATGTTTATTTCTGCCCATTCACTAATGTATTTTAGGTTCAGAGCATGAACACCGTTAGACTAGTCTTCAAGGTAGCAGGAGTAATTGTTTTTCGGCCCTTCTACTTAATGTAATTAGAAAAGTTATTGGGCAGGAACTTTTCCAGCCCCAACTGTATATTCACTGCCTGCTATTTCATGATTGTAGTTTCTAATGCCCAAGGATTTAGAATGTTGGTCCTCAACCAATGTGGAGAGGAGCTCATCAGAATCTCTGATGTGATGGGAGGAGGTGTAATTTGGAAATACCCTTAGGAAAGGTATATCCAAAGTCCTCTAATTCTTGTTCCCTGAGAACTGTGTTAGAGTCCTTATTAAAATGCTAATATTCTGTAGGGAAGGAGTCACACCTAAAGGAAAGCAGAATTACATAAAGGAAATTGAAGAGAGGGTGTGAAAGAAATTAGAAAAAGAAAAAAATGTTAAGAAATGGCAGATAAACTGTTGGGTATGTGTATGGGTTATGTTAATTCACAGATTTTTTTTTAGCATGACCCTGATTCACTTTTTTATATAAATATACAAGAATAATAATTAACCTCTTTAAGAGAAGAATCACCCAGCCCATGTCCCCTAGGAGGAGAGCCCAACCCAGAAGGCTGAACTGTGACTACCTTGATGAATCCACCAGCTCCACTCCTCAGCTTGGCTCACCTGAGCAGCCACTACCCTCCTGTTAAGTAGGAACAGGTGTAGATATTCCAACACAATTCCTATTATTCTCTAAAGCAGAAATCAGAGATTATAATTTCTGCTGAAGTCCAATAAAAAGGAAAACAACTTGTAACAAGTCCATAAAGACTATATATAAATAACTGTACTCTTATGTTTGTGATAGTTACAAAGTATTTTTCCAATAGTAGAATTTTAGGGCTAAGGGTGTAGCTCAGTGGCACAGTGCCTGCCTGGAAAGCTCTAGGCCCTGAGTCCATTCCCAGCACAAATACAAAAGAAACACAATAGTATATTTTGTTCTTATCCAAGGACTACAACAGCTTCCAACTTGATTTCCCTGGTTCTGGTCTCTTATAGTGCCACTCCATGCCATTTTTCATATCTGTAATAATTTCCATGAAGTTCTGATCATAAATGGTTATATACACACATATTAGGGATGATCACAAATTGTGGTGAATGTTTAAATTAAAAAATGATTACAATAAAACACATACTGCCTTTAATCCCTCTCAAAATACTCCCCCTTGCTTCAACCATCCTTTTCCATTATTACCATATTCGGAGACAGTTTTGAAAATCCTTTTAGTTTCTTTAGTTATGCTGTTTATGGCTGCCTCAGTGTCCTGAATGAATTCAAAACAATTACCTTCTGTGGTCACTTTGACAGGGAAGAGCCAGAAGTCTCATGGTGCTAGATCTTATGAATAAAGTAGGTGAGGACACACTGTCATGTTTTTACAAGCCTGTTTTTATTGGACAAAAGCAGCAGCATTTACTGCATGCTTTACCATACCTCAAAAGACATTCACAAAAGAGAGCTTCCCAAATTGCCTCAGAAAGTGGCAAGAACAATGGAATAAGTGTATTCAAAGTAAAGGGGGAGGGGAAGGGGATTAATGGCAATGTATTTACTGTAAATAATTTTGTTTTACTTAAGCCACCATATTTTTTGATCAGCCCATGTGTGCATGTGTGTGGGTGTGTGTATATGTGTGTCTGCATGTGTAATAGATATGTGAATGCTTTCTCTATTTTTTTGGCTTGGTTTTGTAGCATTGCTTATTCTTTAGCTCCTGAAATAGTGGCTCTTATTCAGATTATGTGATGTCATTTGTAAATGTATCATAGTGATTGGTAAATTACTACATTTTGTAAATAATTGTAGAGATTTAGCTATTTAGAAAATTGGAACATATTCAAGATTATTTAAGTAATATATGCATTATTTTCAGTTTAAATGACTGATAAGATTTCTTGAGGGAGGTGGAATTATTTCTCTCCATATGGAAATCATATCTAAGGCATGTCTTACCATGGAGTCCTATCATATATGCCAGGGGAGGAAGTGTTTTCTATTGCTTTTTAAAAAGTAATTTCTTTAAAATAAAAGATACACCTAATGCTGGACTTTTATTTCTTTCATATATTCACAGTTCTCAGATATATGCTCTTTCCAATATCTAATGCTTTATCCAGAAATTTTCTTCAGGATATTCATAGAGAAGTTATAGTAAGCTATGGCAAGATATTATCAATCTACCTAAAGTGTTAAGCAAAAAGCCATTCCAAATTTTCTGACCTAAAATATGAGAAAATAATTGTTAGCACGCTACCAGCTATAGGTAGATAATGATAGATTTGAGAGATAAAAATATGGATTAATAAAATGGTCAAACTAAGAGTGAAATCAGAGACAGTCCAGATGCTTATCTGCCACCCTAAGGGAGGGATTTTGTCTTCCTGTTTTTTCTCTACTTTTTCCCTCTAGTGTTTTAAGCAATATTGAAACTGGGGGTAAAGGTAACAATACAGTGTTGCAACTTCTGTATGTTGCAGTCTGCAAGAGAAAACTGTTAGACTTCTTTCTGAGGATCATCAGAATGATTGGATTTAGGGTTGAAAGAGATCATTTGGGCCAGTGCAACCTTGATCTTCAGGCAGTCAACACCTAGCCAGAAACTTCACCAATCCCTACCATGTCTGCATATATTCCCATGTTAGGAGAGCTTTCAAAATTACAAAAACTATTAATATATACACAAGGGAATATTATATTATATACATATATTATATATATTATATACATATTGTAATTATATATTATATACACAAGGGAATATAATATATACACAAGGGAAAATTCAAAGTGTTAGCAGAAAAGTTTGAGAGATTCACACAAGCACTAACTTTACCTATTTAACCCCACCCTCACCCCCCTTTTTAAAATATCTGGCACATATTGTTGGCTGGAAAGTTATGCTTTCCAATAGTTCTGTTGCTCCAAAGCCAGTTTGAGAATGTTGTCTTTTACATTCCAGAACTCAGTTTCTATCCCTTGTACTAAACTGGCCAGCCTTGAAGACTGGCAGTTGGTACCACTACTAGTGTTCTGTCAGATTTTTCCTCAGATCTCCCCTTCCCCACCTACTCCTTCCAGGACTAAAGATAACTAGGAAACATCAGTCAACCTGAAACCCCCGGAAGCCTCCATCTGTAAAGGTTCGGAGGATTATAGGTAGGGAACAATCTTACCAACAATTGCTACTGATTTAAGCCAAAAAAAAAATCACTTGTCCTAAGGATGCTCTTCTTCTTCCAGAACTGTGTTTTGACTCAGTTGCGAATTACATCCAAAGAATTGTGATAACAAGGAGATTCTGTGGCTCTTTCTATCAGCCATTGTTCAGAATGAGATATTCTGTGGGTTTAAAGGTTTATCCCATACTGATTAGTCTAAGTATAGAAATGATATTTAAGACCAGAGGAAAAGGTCACATCTTCTTTATTCACTTGAGTGAGCAGGGGCAGAGGAATAGAGGTGATGACAATTTGACTTTGTCCCCCTCCTTGGTAACTTCTGCTCAGTCATCTCCCCACCTCTGATCATTGGGTCATCAATTTGAGGCAAGCAAGCAATGCAGATCTTTAAAGAGTGAATGATTTACAGAGTTTTTTGTTTGTTTGTTTGTTTGTTTTTTCCAGTACCAGGGATCGAACTCAGGACCTTGCACTTGCCAGGCAGACGCAGTGACACTGCAAATGAGAAACACTAAAATTTCAAAACATTTTCCAGTATGTGATTTTTTAAAATCACAATATCAAGTACCATTTCTTACTGACTGACATTGGCTTCCTAACCCAGAATGTCGAAAAAGTATTCTTGGGTTGAATCAGAGTTTCAGAAAGTGAATTGCAAGGTTAAATAGCAACACATTCATGCAGAAAGGAGTAATGGCTTATATATAACATTTTTTCCTTCTTAAAACAGTTTCACATTGCTGATTCAATCCACAAATTTCAAACAATCTTCCATCTATCCTTAAAATCACTATTCAAAGTCATTACATTATTCCCATTTGGCAGAAAAGAAAATGATTTGTATTAGTTTAAGTTTTAGAAATTCCCAAATGTTTTGATATGTGTTCCCTATAAGGAAAATACTCTTCAAAATTCAGAATTAATGATAAAGAAATTCTTGAAGGAAAATTAAAGTATAAACCAGTGATGTCCAAGGAGAATGGGTTGCAAGCTGACCAGCATTTATAGAAAGGAAATGACACTTGTGTAGTGCTACTTCCTTAGTGTCCTGTGCTGGCTCTAGACCATTCTTGTAGCTGGAGGGCTCCCGAGGTGCTGCCCTCCTGAATGAGACAGAAGGATGATGCATTTGCAAGGTGCAGAAGTAACTTAATAGGCCTTTATTTTCATGTCCTATATGGATTTTAAGTCCTCACACTCTATTCTTGCAGAAGGATGTCAAAGTTTGTTGCACCTCATCCTCTTAGACTAATCTGTAGCTAAAGATCTCCATTCCCTTTCTAGTCAAGAGAATGGAACTATTTCAGCAAACAGGAAAGGTTCAAAATCCCCTTGTGAGGAGATACCATGCTAACTCACTAACAGGGCTGTGCTATTTCAGGGTCACCAAAAATGGCAATGAAGAGCAAGAAGGAACTGTCTGGTATGGGAAAGCAGGATTCTTTTTCAAGTGGATACAAAAACACATTAAGCTACTCAAGTTTTGCTGTCAGGTAAGAACCTCAGAGAAGGCTGAAACTATGCTTTCCTGTGAATCACTCACCAACAAAATTTTTACTTGCATCAGAATATTTGTTTCATAAGTTCCTACATAGAACAATGGAAATATTCCTCACCAAAATGAATTTCTCTCTCTCCCATACAATTAAGTTAAGCAAATATACCTCTTCCCACCAGTTGTTGCTCTGATCATCTATACCCATAACAACTGAAAGTTAAGTAACCCAGTTTTCTTTCAGCTTAACATCAGGGACTCTAGAAATCAGGGTTAGGGCCAAATTTTAGGTATTCCCAAATAGCTTTTCTATGATCAGTACATCCTCTATTTCCAATAGATTGATGTTTGAGATTGCCTAGCTTTTTGCATCTGAAAATTAGGGTCAACAAATCCTTCCTCCCCTGCTGTCTTTTCTCTACAGCTCTTTGGTACATTAAAAATTCTACTAACCAGGAAGCAAGCTTGGAGGTGGAAAGTGATCTCTTAGTTGTCTTAGTTAATTTATAAATAAAAGGTCAGTCCAAACATTTATCACTTCAAAATTACTGTAATATACTGGCCACATTTCAGTTTAGTAGGTATAATGTAATAGTAAAATCTTTAAGGATTGATAATTGTGATTGTCTAAAGAAAAATAGTATATTATCAGTAAAATATAACCACTGTGCTCTAACATCACATAAAACAATGAATACTTTTTAAATTTTTTAAATGAATTTTAAGTATTTAAAATGTTTGTCTGATTCAGCCATTCTGCATAACAATATGGAAGTTTTTCAAAAAATTAAAAACAGAACACCTATGATACAGAACAATCTCATTTCTGTGTATTTATCCAGAGGAAATTAAATTGATACTTCAAAGAAATTTCCAAACTTTCATGCTCATTGCAGCATTATTCATAATAGTTAAGATATAGAATTAACCTTGGTGGCCATCAAAAGATGAAAAGACAAAATGTGATGTTGATCCATAGACACTCCATGGAGTATTAATCAGTCCTCAAAAAAGAAGGAAACCCTATCATTTGCAACAAAGTAGATGAACAGGGGGACATTATGAACGTGAAGGAAGCCAGACACAGAAAGACCAACACCACAGATCTTACTTATATCAGGAATTTAGAATACAACTCCTAAACACACATAGTAGGATGGTGGTTGTCAGGCATCTGGGTGTGGATATTAGTAAGTGCTCATTAAATATCCCTTATTATTTCAATAATCAGTTTTTATATCTTGGAAAGTGAATGAAGTAGAGGTGAATAAGCGTAGAGCTTTCCAAGGGAATGGATTTTGAAATAGATCTTTTACTTCATCTTGTTTGTGATATAATTTACCTCTTTCTTTTAACCTATGAAGAATCATATTTCTGTTTAACTGAGAATTCTGGATCTGTAGGTCTGGTTAACAGAGGTTACCCTATACCTTACCCACGGGTAGGGTGGGCATCTAAATTCTGAGCCACCAAAATGCCAGCACTTCACAGATGCACTTTTTAAATGGACTACAAAAGTCTAGGACTTAGATTTTCTGCCCTGTCTTGCCTTTCATTCTAGAGGTTTTGAAACTAGATGAGGTATTTTGTGAGAAAGGACTAAGAATTAGTTGAAGAAAAGGTTGTAAGGAATCTCAATTCAGAGTTAGCCTCATTTCCAACAACTAAATAACTATCAACTAGCACGGGATTTGCATAGTTTTCCCTTTAAAAATACTTGGTAAATAGGTATTTATTGTGTATTCTCTATGCTAAGTAAGCATTGAACCAGATGCTTTTGTAAACATAAAAATCATGTTTCAGCCTCCATGCAATCTAGTCCAATAAACAAGATGAATCCTTGTAAAATAAATTAGATAGTGAATAAAACAGCATTTGTTCAAGTGCTACATTGATGGTTATGGCAAAAGCTCAAAGGTGGAAGAGGCTGATGCTGGATAGATTAACCCAGAAAGCTTCCTATGTGAAGTGGGATTTGGAGAGGTGAGACAGAGTGGGAACCTGAACTCCTATGAACGATGGGACATGGAGAAGGCATGGAGAAAGTTAGTGCCTCCCATGAACCAGCAAGTCAGCTTCTCTAGAGTGTTGTGAGAAGTAACACCTCATATTTCTCAAGAACACATTTTTGGCTATTGGTCTTGTGTGTGTGTGTGTCTGTGTACATTATGTTTATGTTAATGCAAAGTTGTTACAAAAACATGATTCAAATTTGAAAGTTGTTTTGAGGAAATAAAGACAACATATGTGATAACACATAAAGTGCTGCAGTCATGTCTGATTTCATAATTCTTTCTCATGTCTTGTCTATGGTAATGAAGGACTGGCTAGTCATGAACAACCAGGAGCCATGAAAAATTCTTAGATGTAATTTTAGGCATTCAATTTCCTTGGCTTTCCTCATTATTTTCAATACAGCTATAAAAGCCAAGTAACTCAACTTGCTGGTATTTTCCTCATTGTTTTCAATTCCTCTATTGTCTGTGATAAAGAATGATCTAAAGTGGATATCTAAGCAGAGATCAGTCCAGGGGTACGGGCTCATCTGAAGATCTGGTTTACCTGCCCTAGATCTGGTTGAGGATCTCTCAGTATGCTTTGAAAGTCACCAAAAAAGCCCAGAAGTCTGATCATCTTTAAAATTGGACTTTGCTTTCTGTAGTTGTAATTAACCATAGTTACATACAATTCACAGATATTAAATGAAAAATTCTGGAAATAAATTTCATAAATTTTAGGTAACTTATTTTAGCATAGTTATAATTTTTCTATTTGTTTATTATTTGTAATCTCTCACTATGTCAAATTTATAAATTAAACTTCATCATAGGTATATATGTACAGAGAAAAAAAGCATAGTGTATATAAGGCTCCATATTATCTGTGTTTTTATACATCCATGGGGAGTTTGAGCCCATCCTGCATGGATAAAGAGGGACTGCTGTGTACACTTCACTAGATAAGAGGCATTGGAGGATGAGTTTCTGGTTGGTTTGATTTCCAGGGCAAGAATAATTCCTGATAGCAAATTAGGGAACATACATCTCTGGTAACGAGTGTAAAATAGACTGGATGTCTTAATAGAGACAAGCAGGCATTATTGGAAAAAATGTAAAATGTGTGTTGTGTGCTATTTATGATCATTTTTGAATTACATTCACATCCCCAAACCAGAATGTTATTTATAGTTTTGCTGACAATGGCCTCAAAGCTATTAAAGATGAAATCTTCTGACCACCAGTGGGTTTTCCAGTAAGTTCAGAAGCTGCCGGCTTCTATTCTTACAGCGCTACAGACAGCTCTAACTTATAGACAGCTCTAACTTACAGACAGGTTACTGATCAACATTTCATTGTATCCTTGGTGTCTTTCTTTTCCCATAGACCGAGCAGGGTTATAAATAGTAGTTAGGCTCTCAGACAGGTACAGGGAAGACTGTTTAATAGATGGAAGTTAAATTCATATTTGTTGATGAATGAATAAACAAATACTACCTCTATTCAATTGAAGTCTATCCTTGAATCAAGGGTTCATGTGATACAAGAAAGAGAAGGTGAATACTTTTTACTTCTTTTCAGAAAGATGAAGTTAGGCCGGTGCAAAATTGCATGAAAACTGCATCCCCTGGCACCCCTTGCTTTAGCTTTCCGTTTCTTTACTGTGATCATTCTACTTTGGATGAGCTCAGGAGAGTTCTATACATTTTACTTCATTGCCAATTATTTACTATTCCCTACCTCTTTTTTCCCAAAATTCACTTCTTTTGTAAAACTGATTTTAATTAGATAATAGAAAGAAAAGATTCAGGTGCAAACATTTCATATTATGTTGTGGCTGACCATAACCACTCTAAATCATTCATTCTTTTAAAAAATAGTTTTTAAGCTCAAGTAAATATTGAAAGAAGTGTAACCAGAGAAGCAAGAACAGGCCGAAATTTCCAACCAGCTTGCGATTGACCTAGGCCAGGAAAGGATACCATTTTTGTTTGTTTGTTTATTTGGTACCACGGATCGAACTCGGGACCTTGCACTGGCAAGGATACCATTTTTAATAGCAAGGCATGTCATGTTTGGGTATGTTAGTCTTTTCCCTGGAAATCTTCCCTCTGAGTCTGTGTAAATCAACTCTCACAAATCATATTGAAATCTAAATTTCTCACATGACTTCCCTTCCCCACTGTCTTAGTGATACCTGTGAATGAGATCATGTTCACAATATCAACCTCATTTTCACAGTCCTTTTAGAGATACCACAGACTGTGCATATTATTTTCTCTATTTCTCACTGTTCAACCCAGCCTCAGTTCTCTAAAGACCAAGTGGTCCTTAGGCACAAACGCAGGCACAAACTGTAGCTTCAAAAGCAGATCCAGGCCTCAGATCCTCATCCTCTTTATTCTTCAAGCTTCAATCTCTTTATCTGTGAAATGGAGATAATATTAGAACTTGATTAATTGAAACTTTGTGAGGATTACACTGTAAGAGACAGATTACATTCTTATGTAGTGCCTGATGCATAGTCAAACACAGCAGGTGAAAATGGTCCAGGTTGCTATGGATGTTGGAGCACTCTTCATTCTCCCGTCATTATCTTTCTGGCTCTTGGATTGTCAAGCTTTCGCAATCAGTCTCAGTCACATTTGGGGGAGCATATAGTTCAAGACCTCTCAAGACTTCATTCAGTGTCTCCTACCACCCCTCACAGCCTGTTGGCTGGTGAAACATATGAGCCTGGCACAGGGACTTCCCCTAGGCTGAGGCCCTCCCGCTTGGGAGCCTGTCTGTGGCTTGCCACTCTCCCCCAGAACTCTTCTGCAGGCAACTCTAGCTCTGTCTTTGTCTATTTCTGCACACCCTCCAGCCGCTGAGGCCATAGCAGTGCAGTTGCCTGAGCACAGTGCAGCCCACCCAGAAGGACTGCTGGCCACAAGCAGCCACCCCTATTGCTTCTCTTCTGCCACCCCTATGTCCAACCTATATAATTTATGACAGACAG